GTGGTTTTCTTGCAGACGTTTCATGACCCAACTAGGTAACAACATCAGTGCTACAAGGGAGCAGCGTCTACTCTCTCTTTAGATTCAAGTGGCTTTCACTATCGGCGTTGATGGGTGGTTCTAGTGGTTCCTTCATTAGGCTGTTTGCACCTCTTGATTAAGCTGTTTCCTGCTTTCTAACACTGATAATGTGACGCAGTTGGGTCACAAAACGTCTGCAAGAAAGCAACCAAGCTCAGAGAGCACCAAGTCCTCCTCCTCCTCCTCCTCCTTCCTCTCTGCAAACCCCCCTCCCTTCTAGCACTGACGATGTTATCGAGATGGGCGGTGAAACGTCTGCAAGAAAACCACCAAGCTCAGAGAGCATCAAGGACCCCACACTCCTCCTCCTCTCCTTCCTCCCTGCAATCTTGCAGCACTGATAATGTTACCCAGTTGGGTCGCGAAACGTCTGCAAGACGCTGCCGATATTTTCTTCTCTCGGGATTTCCTGAGCAGTCGGCCCCCTCCCTGAACCCAAACAACAAATAACATCCCCCAGTACCTTGTTCTCTAAATATCCTGGGTTTTTTGTTCGTTTGTTTGTTTGCAGGAATTGATAGTCGGTACAACGAAGGCTGCCGGGAGCTCGCCAACTATCTCCTCTTCGACTTGTACAGCCAGAACAACAACGAGTTTGAGAGGGCAGGATTCCCCGAAGAAGTCCTGGACGGTAAGAGGGAGCTGCCCCCGAACCCCAAAGGCTGGAATGAACCTCTCTTCCTGGTCACCGGCGATGCTTGGCTCCTTCCCCCACTCCTAACGAGTCCTCTTCTTACGACCGCTTGCTTTATTTTTGCAGATGTGATCCTGCTGGTGAAGCCGGACAGCGTCCATCTCTACTGCAACCCGGTCAACTACAATTACCTTCTCCCCAACGTGGCGTTTTGGAGAAACCTGCATTTCCACTGCCTGACGGAGACGGAGGTGAGCTGGGGAGCCACAAACTGAGGAAGAACCGGGGTGGGGTGGGTGGGTTGCGGAGTGAGAAAGTTTGGACTTCCTGCGCAGGATTTCAGCGGTCTGGCGGGGGAATTCTCTGGGCGTTGAAGTCCACGTCTCTTAACACCGCCCACCGTCGTTTGCAATGTTGCCCAGAATCTTTTAACTGAACCTTACAGGTACTCGCTTGAGTTACGACTACAGAGTTTTTGTTGCTAAGCGAGATATTTGTGAAGTGTGTATTGCCCCATCCGTTGGTGCAGTGGTGAGAGTGCAGTACTGCGGGCTCCTTCTGCTGACTGCTGGCTGCCTGCAGTTTGGCAGTTTGACTCTGACCAGGCTCAATGTTAGCTCAGCTTTCCATCCTTCCGAGGTGGGTAAAACGAGGACCCAGATTGTTGAGGGCAAGAGGCTGACTCTGTAAACCGCTTAGAGAAGGATGGGAAGCCCTGGGAAGTGGCATGTAAGTCTGAAGGATATTCCTCCCTTCCTCCTTCCTTCCTTCCTTCCTTCCTTCCTTCTTCCTTCCCCCTTCCTCCCTCCCTCTCTTACTTCTGTTTCTCATTCTCCTTCCTGACTGGCTCAAGGTTGACGCGTCCTTCCGAAGTTGGTAAAATGAAGACCCAGATTTGGGGGGCGGGGGGGGAGGCTGACTGTGTAAACCACTTAGAGAGGGCTGGGAAGCACTGGGAAGGGGTATATAAGTCTAAGTGAGAAGGGAGGGAGGGAGGCAGGGAGGGAGGGAGGGAGGAAGGAAAAGAAGAAGGAAGGAAGGAAGGAAGGAAGGAAGGAAGGAAGGAAGGAAGGAAAAAAGAAAAAAGGAAGGAAGGAAGGGAAGGAAGGAAGGAAAAGAAAAAAGGCAGGAAGGAAGGCAAGGCAGGAAGGAAGGAATGAATGAAGGAAGGAAGGAAGGAAGGAAGGAAAAGAGAAAAGGAAGGAAGGAAAGGCAGGCAGGAAGGAAAGGAAGGAAGGAAGGAAGGAAAAGAAAAAAGGAAGACAGGAAGGAAGGAAGGAAGGAAGGAGCAAGAGACTGACCCTGCAAACCACTCAGAGAGGGCTGTAAAAGCACTGTGAAGCGGCACATAAGTGTTATTGCCAAGTGCTGCTTCTTGCCACATTCGTTAAGTGAATCATTGCAGTTTTTTAAAAGTTAGTAACCCGGTTGTTAAGTGAATCTGGCTCCCCCATTTCCCTTTGGTTGGCAGAAGGTTGCAAAAGGGGGTTTGCATAACCCCGGGACCCTGCAACTCTCATCAATAGGAGCCAGTGGCTGAGCATCTGAACGTTGATCATTGTGACCACCAGGAAGCTGCCATGGTCATTCAGTGTGGAAAAGGGTCCTAAGCCGCTTGTTTTTCCAGTGCCGTCGTAAGTTCGGATGGTCACTAAATGAATGGCTGTAAGCCGAGGACTTACCTGTATTATATTCATATTGGTCAGGCTCAGGGATGTAGCGACCGGTTCGCTGTCCAATTGCTGGGTGGGCGTGGCCATGGTGGGTGTGGCCTACCGGAACTTCCAGGAGGGCCGTTTTGCGCCTTCCCCAGAATCCGGAGGCTTCCCTCGGGCCTCTGGGAGGGGGAAAATGGCCTCCCCTGCACTCTGGACGCACTCTGGAACCGTAGAGCCCACCAACTTGAAGTTGGGCACTTAGGTTCCTCTTGGCTTCTACGTGCTCACTAAGAAAGGATTCTTCAAAATGACCATCAGAGTATTATTATTATTATTATTATTATTATTATTATTATTATTATTAT